TCTACTCGGACTGTCTTTGGTTTGATGCACAGATCCACGCTGGCTGTATCTAGGCTGCGCTGATTAGTCTTGGCATTGTAGCAGGATGCTGAGCGGCAGTGATCACGCAGCCACACATAGTCAAAGCGCATCAGGGTACCTGCATACCTGAGCTCTGGGAAAATATTTAAAAGATTATTTGGTCAAACAAACTGGAACCAAACCCCCTCAGCACACAACCCCACATAAACAGGTTATAAAGTCTATTAGCACTTATTTTTAACTATTTCACAAGTTGCAATCATCTCCCAGATCTGCTGTGAAGATTAGGCAAGTTATTTTAACTAGTGCCTAGTACGCTATAGCTTGTTTGGCTGTCAGGGAACCAACTGTGGTCCTAGGTGCTATACTCACTGAACCCACAGTGTTCTTGTTCCTAAACTGTGTCAGGGGAAAAAGACTGTAGCTGTAGGCTTACTGGTAACTATAGCTAGACGGTTACTTATTTGTTTAGTGTCTATTGACAGATTTGAGTATTTCACTTTTTACAGAGGTGCCATTTTGCAACTGCCATAGATAAGATGTCCTCTTTAGAACAGTGCTTATAAGCAACTCTAACATACAAAGAAAAAAGAACCGGTGAAATGAGAGGCATAAACAACCAGTCCCCCTTTGAATACTATGGATAACCTCACTACACTTGCACAAAGCCTGGATTTTGAAATGTTACTTTATCTTGACCTACAGCAGGCTCAAGAGCAGTCTCCTTGCCCCTAAGCCCAAACAGCTAAAACTGTCCTTGTCCTATCTCAGTGTCTTACTCTAATGAAATGGCCTCTCCTTAGTCCCACTTGATTCTTTGAATCCAGGTATCCAGCTCCTACATGTAATAAAACACATCATCTTTTGGACTGAACGTGCATTTAACATTGGGCAATTCCCAAGGCAAGTTTTGACTGGGTACCTAACCACACCCCCGTAGGTTGTGCTGGAAGTTTACACAAAGTTAGCTGCCTTCAGATAACCTACAAAGCAGAAATTAGCTTGGAAGTATTAGACAGCTTTTAAAAACTGGACCAATTAACAAGCTGATCCATCTATCAGCTACCTTACCTGGAAGGCTAAGAGATGCACAAGATTAAATGACTAGCCTGGAGCTACACATAGTAAGTCAATCCGGAGACAGAAATAAATTAGGAATTTGTTTTAAACTCTTGACTTAATTCATCTCAGCCAACTATGCTTGACTATTGCAAAACACATGGGGCCAGAAGATAACCTGATTCAGCACACCTCTGGAAATATTACATCAAATGTCTATGATCTAAAACCATATAGTAAATATACAGAGATAAATTCTTGTTTAAGCTACCAAAAATGAAGAATAATTTCACTGAAGGAGCACTGCAACTGTAAACTAAGATCAAAAGAGGTTCTTGCCCCCATGCCAAGTGTGCTAGTGTGTGTGTGTGTGTGTGTGTGCGCTTACCCAAATGATCGTTATGCAACTGCCAGATACAATTCAGAGACTCTGGGACTGTGTGGTGCCAACGGGCTGTAGTAGTCGGGAAGACATTTCTGAAACACTGATGCCACGATGACTGGTGTCTATAATTTCTATTCAGCAGGCACTGGGTGCTGGGGAATACATGCATCAACCTACGGCACCACATGCTGAGGGAATTCAAAGAGGGAGAGAATATCATTACAGCGGGTGGTTCTGCATTACAATTGATCTATTCTAAAGAACCTAGAGACCCCAATCATGGGTTGACATCCACATATTACTAGGTGCCGTACACACATGAACAGATGGTGCCAGCCCCTAAGGGTTTTCAGTCTCTTGGTGATAATTTCTGTTCCAGACCTGGGGTGGTGTGGGTGCTAAGACGCATGGATGACAGGTCGCAAGTTTGAGGCCATAGCAGAAGCGCTTATTGTGTGGCCCTTCAGATTCCAACAAATCTTTAAACTCTGTTAAATAACTTGTCACACAAGGGCACAAGAAAGGAAAAGCAGTTTCTCTTCCCTACACATTTGTTTCTCATCTTCCTGGTTAGTCAGAAATGTCAGAACATTTATACGGACAGCGGCAGCTTGTCCTGAGTAGCAATCAACTCGTACAGTAAGAAGTGGTTGAATACACTTTTGTTGCACTTAAACACATACCAGATAGCCTTATTGCTGAGTTCTGAACATGGCTACCACCATCACCTAGATACTTTTCTCAATTATAGCACAACAATGCTGTTTCCAAGCTAAACCAGACTTTACTCACCTGTTTCACAGCATCTGAAATTCATATCTGCATTATTATTAAAACACTGACAAACCATCTGTAACAGCAGTACCTGGATGTCTTTTGTCTTGGCTTTTATCAACTGTACTAGAATAACATTAAGTTGGGAGGAATCCCCAATATAAAAGAGAAACAGAATATCAGATAGGAAGAATTGTGTGACCTTGCAACCTGCAGCAATAAAAATGGCATGAAATTTAATTCTATATTTACTTGACTAAAACAAGGTTCCCCCCACCAATCATCATGAGGGAAAAACCTTTGTCTCAGATTTCTATTGAAAGCTGGGGGGAAGGGGCACAGGGGACTGGTGGCTGCTGCAGCTCTAACCCTGGCCCTGAGTTTGGATCTGGGCTAGTGTCTAGACCAGGGACAGGGCAACCCCTGGCACAGGAGCCAGAGTGTGGCACTTGAAAGCATTTTGCTTGGCACATGCAATTCGGGGCAGACGGAAGGGAAGGGGCCGGGTCTGCAGTGCCACAACAGCGGCTTCCCCACCATCTGCCCCTGGCATGCCAACATTTTACACATCAAGGTTGCGGGTGTTTTTGGCACCCTGCCCAAAAACATTGCTGACTCCTGGTCTAGACCTGGGTGGCCACTCCTCCTGTTTTATACCGGACCATCCTGTTTTTAAAACCTTTGTCCCCTGTCTATTTCTGAATGAGGAATGAATCGCAAGAAGTTCTGTTTTTAGTTTGATGATGGAAACACATGTCAATCATTTGTCCTTATGATTCTATTGGCTGTGCCTAGAGGTAGGGCACTGCACAGCAAGGAAGACCAGGGTTCTGAGCCAGCCAGGGAGGGAAGGAGGGAGGTGGCCTTTCTGTGGTGGTCCTACCCTTGCTGCTGATTGGCTAAGGGGCCCTCTGGCTGCACCCACTGCTGCTGATTGGCCAAGGCAGTGGCCCTGCCCCTCACTGCTAAATGGCCAAGGTGGGCAGTGGTCCCAGTCCTCACTGCTGACTGGCTGAAGGGGATGGTGGCCCCACCCCTCACCGAGGTGATGTCCTATATTCTGGGGATGCATCAGTGGCCACCCTACTCAGAACCACGGCGGCTCCCTACCCACCTCCCTCCCTCACTTGCCCTCTGCAGCTTCTGCCCCTTCCCTCCCCTTACTGTCAGGAGCAGCTCAGCTCTGGTTCAGGCTGGATCCCCTCCTGGCACAGAGCACATGGAACTCTGTCCCCAGTCGGGCCAATCAGCAGCACTGATGCTGCTGCGTGGCTGGCAGGGGCTGCACTTCTATAGGCTGTGCTCTGGGAATGGTGGGAGGGCAGAGGCTTTGGGGTGCTGGGGGTAGGGAAGTACAGGTGGCAGGGGAGACAGGAAGGCTTCACAGGGAAGAAGTGTGCGTGGGGTGGGCGAGAACAGAGAGCAAGGGGTCTGCCTGACATCCCCAGTCACTACTTTCCTTGCTGCAGCAGTGGGGCAGGGGGGTGAATTCTTTAATTATAGCACATTTATACATTTTCCATGTATAGAATCTAATTATTGTGGGGGGTCATCTTAAATTCAAGGTCATCTTATATTTGAGTAAATACAGTAATATGAACTGCAGGGTCACAGTTTTATAGATTAACAGGAATTTTTGCTATAATCTGGGAGTTAATTAGTTGGACATTTGGAAACAGAAGATGAGGACCCAAGCATATTAAGATTACCCCACCATGAGTATGAACAACAGATATGATATAGCTGTGAAACAAGCAATGCAAACCTAGGATGCACCAGGCATAGTATTTCCATCATAAGTGTGGGGGTTGGGGGGAGGGAATAATACCATTATACAGAGCACATATGGGACTTTCTCTGAAATACATGCATAATACTGGTCACCCCATGAACATATCAGGGAAGTAAACAAAAGATAGAGAAATAGCTATTTAAATGAAAGAACAATACAGGCACAAAAATAATTGTGTATAAACTGGACATGGCTATGAGTATATTCAGGTTGGAAATGAGAAGGTTCCCAACCATCAGATCAGTCAGGTTCTGGAACAGATGTTCAACAGGAATAGGGATGGCAAAAAAACCTATCCATCTAAGAAGGGAACTTGGTAACTTCCAGAAAGGACTGTATGGACATAGAGGTCTGCAAACAAGGGACTTGCTTCAGTGACTGAGGAGCCCCCTAGGGTTGCTTCTAAGGATATGGATACTTGGAAATAAAACTGTGTCAAAGAGGAGACAATCAGAGAGTGATTTTTCCCACTGTCATTTTTATTCTTATTTTAAGTTTCCTGCCTCAACATGTATAGAAAAGTTTACCACAAGGTCAAAAGGCACTAATTTGCTGTCCCCTAATTCTTATGAATACTGTTACAGACCTATCTCTGCTTGATGTCTATGTTTTGGAGATCTTAAATGCTGGAAAGAACAATAAAAGTAGTACAAAGGCTGCAAGTTTCCAAACCCTCATTCTGCTCTACAAGGAAAGTAACTGAATAATATCTCCCAGTCCCGACAGCAAATATAGAAAGCAGAAACTGATTTACTAACACAGTGCAAGGAAACATCCTAGAGATACTGTAATCTTGGAACTGCTAGGTCTATGCAAACATTTACAGCCTTCTAGTTATAAAAAAGCTCAGATCAGAAGTCTGCTTATTGAGTGGCTACCAAAACAGTAATCCCTATTAAGTAACCTGTAACCAAGTATGCTATTTATGATGATCTGGTTTCGGATCAGAATTCAAAATGCTTTGCTGTGTAATTTGGGAAGGGTGGGGCAGCAGGGGAACTAGTGACAAAAATTACATAATCTTCCAGACCTGTGGGTTAGGACAAGAATTTCTGAACCAGTGAATTATGATCCAAATGCATTAACATGAGTGCCAGTGAAAGCTTACATTTCCCACTCCTGATACCTCCAGTAACTAAATTCTCTGCTTACTTCATCCTTGCACCAGGATCTCTTATTACTTAGAAAGTAGAGCAGATTGCCCAATGTTTTTAAAATGGGGCTGACTATATACCAGGTTTAAAAAAATGGATTACATAATAAACCAAACTTAAATACTTTTTATCCAAAAAAACAGTCAGAGGTTAAGCAGAGAACAGAGCTCAGCAGATCTAAATTCCCCTCCCTTGCTTTGGCTGCAAAGAAGTGCTCCCTCCTCCAAAAAAAATACTATATCAGATGGGTACTCTGGATAGCTAGTTAGTTAGATCTTAAGAGCTAGGTAGTACAGGCAGTCCTCGACTTACAACGTTTCAAATTACAACCTTTTGCACTTACAGCTTTTATAAATTGACATACTGTTTCAACTTTACAGTTGAAACTGGCCAGTTTCAAGGGGTAATCATTTCTTATAGAAAAATGTAGTGGTCCTGAAACAAATCCTAAAGAGAGAAGCAACCATACCTGATAAAAAGCTTTTGAATAATGAAATGATAAACCAATCTGCAAAAAAATGTACATGAAATGAGAAGCATATGAATATGGCACTTAGGCAGTTTACAAAAACTAAGCTGTATCACATAGTATTTTACATGCTACATACTCTTTAAAATATACTCTTTTGTATGGTAGTACATGCTGTATTTGCTTCCATATTCAACATATACTTAGTTTGGCTTAAAAGATTACTAGAAACTTAGCTGATTTTATTTGTTTTGTTTTGTAAGTGGGCTAACAGCTTGATCCAGAATTCAGTTGCTTCGTATTATGAGATAACAAATTTCTGTATTACTTCTGAACTGCTGCAGATTGACAAAATGTACCTATCTACTTTACGGGTAAGGCACTTCTAATATACAAGTGTCAAGTAAACCAAATGCATTCTATTCTGAAATGCTGTCCAGAGAAGAAAATCATCTTTCTGTTTTTTAGCTGTAAACTATAGACTGCTTGGAGAACAGCTAAACTGCAGTTAACAACTTCACTGAAGCTGGCCAGACTCAGAAGAATAAGAAAATATCATTTGGGATACCTAGTTCAACATCACGTATTTTGTATCTCACAAACATTCCACTCACAAAATGCATGACCTTTGATTCCTACAGTAGAAGATATAGAATGTAAGAGCATGATGGATCATTTCAGCTTGTGTACCTTTTGACAGGAATCTACGTGTTCAACAGAAAGAAAACAAGGTGTACATATTCATACAGAAAATGATAGAGAGCATAAAACAATTCTGAAAACTGCTGCTACAAACCTGCTTAGAAAGTGGCCTCTGCCTCTGATAGCTTAAGCTGCAGTTATCTCTTATATACATTCACACACTCCTTTTATCTTTCACCGCTTTCAATATCCAAGGTTGCCAGAGCATAAAAATGTTTAATAGGTAAATGATCTGCACATTTAATCTAATCAGCTAGAACTGTACTGAGTTCTTTGCTGAAGAGAGAGACTGCAACAGGCAGTACACTCAGTAAAAGTCAAGTCTCATTTATGGATATTGTCTCTAAAAGTGTTTGAGGAACTGAAAACAAATACCCATGTGGAACAAAAGGGGTTTACATTTTACCTTAGGTACCAGCTGAATAACTTGACCGAAAGCACAAAAATAGCTTTGTCCTTATTATTAGTAGTAGTAATTTAAACAGATAAACTTTCTTGTATTCCTCTTACCTTTATATGTTGTTGATGTTTAGATTGTTCATGTTACAGACTAAGATCAGCTGAGCCTCATATCAAACTTCCCTTAAGATTCAAAGAGTGGAGAGGTGTCAGAAACTCCTGGACCATTTCAGTGTGGTTGAACTCATATAACTAGAGGCACATGAGTTGGGAAAGACTTATTAGATCATCAAGTCCATCCCTCTGCCCAGGCAAGATAGCCCTTCCTCTGCGTGGGATTCTATTAACTTATCTGTCTTATCCAGAAGGTTAAAAAGACAGAGACTAGAACACATCCACTGAATCTTCAGCCAAGATAAAAGGGATAAATATGAAAGGGAGACGCTTCTAGTGAAAAGAATGAAAAAAAAGACATAACATTTACATGCATGGAGCTTTTGAGAGTACTACAACATAAGCTTCAGGAGAGAGCAGATAGGAACATATTTCTAAGGAAGCACAGTGACGGCTGCTATAGTTAGATAATAATGACATGCAATGCACAAGGTGTTTACAACAAGTAAAACTTGATGATCTTTCAATCCAGTTATTAAAATGCTAGCAGGTCTCATTTCAAGGAAAGAAAAACATTGAACAAAATCAGTTAGCATCCATATTTTTTTAAAGAGTAATAAGTGAATCTATGAAATCTGCCCAACTTCTAGGCAGCTGGCCAGCCATACCACAAAACCACAGGTCACAACTGGCACGCTGGCACTGGCTCCAACTGCTACCACCTACATTGTAATTTGTTTTGTGGACAAAGATGATTTCACATCTCATTGCCATCAACCCAGCACCCTTTGCAAATTCTTGCCCTAATCTAGTTAAAAACATTTAAAAAAAATTCTAAAATAATTTTCATCAGCCATTTCAAAACATTCAGTGGCTGATAAATATTCATTTATCCTTTACTTTTCTACAATAGTCCAGTGGAAACAAATGTTTCCAATTAGTGACTTTAAATGCAGGAAATAAGACATAATTTTAGCATTGCAACCAAACCTAACCAACATTTGCATAAAGTGGGGGGAGGGGAGAAAGGGAGAAAAGAGAGAAAAAAACTAAGTTTCCGTAAAGCAATCAGAGGGAAAAAAGTACATTGTCTGCAAGTCTCAGAGAGGATAAACATTTGTGACTGGTTTCCTGGAAACACTTGCATCTTAAATCGGGTACGTCTATAGTGCTTTACACAATGCAACCAGCTCTCCCAAACTGGCACCACTAGAATTAAGATAATCTATGTGAAGGGAATACTATTAAAAAGAAGATCAAACTCCAAAGGCTGACCAGGAAACATCTTGAAAATTGCCACCCAGCAACAAAAATAAATGAGAGAGTCTGTTATTAAATCATACCAGGTGCCAATAAACCAATCATAAACTAAGTGAAATAATCATTATGTACAGACCCCTTGGAAATGATGGACATCTGAAATTACATGGAGGACCACAGTGCATTTTCTAAAGCAAAATGTCAGCAGTTTTAAGGGCATATGGAGCACATGTTAACATAGTTTAATCACTAATTATAAACAAAACAGAAGACTTAAACTCTTGTATCAAAGTGGATTAATTTCCCTGTAGAGAAAATCTGCATTTACTGTACTACACTGTTGCAACTGACTGCTTTCAGCATTGGATTTCAAAGGTGAAAAATCTATCCACCCCCTTTCTTGCCCCACCCACAAAGGTTACTACAATAAAATCAAGTAGGTAATGATAAAGACAGAGAGTATCAGTTTTACAATGAATTTTGTTAGGAATAAAAGCAACATACTGAATATGTGGAGTACAGCACCGAATGCTTGAGTTAAAGCCTGCTTTCTGGTAATCTTACTGAAATCTGCCAACTCACATCACTTTACCAAGACTTTCATCTCCAGATTTCTGTTGAAATCCCCAAGCACATGACTCTCCCTACAGTTCTCTTTTCCAGCAGACTGATCAAACCCCCTTGTTCTCTCTCCTGTACATGGGCACATTTACTGTGGTGCTTATGTGGCTGGAATGGCAAAAATGGAGCCCTGTTAAATTGGGACAACTACTAGAATATCCCAGCTATGTGCACAGAGGCTCATTCTCAACATGACAGGGATGCACTGCCCCCCTTCTGGAGAAAACGAAAAAACACCTTACAAAAAGACCAATCGTTCCCCGATAGAAGCACAGAGCTGTCTGCTGTTGTTTACAGATAGCAGGATTTGAAGTCTTAATCCCTGCTTGAACTTTGGGTCACATCATGTTATACAGAAGTGTGCTTACAAAGATTTGAAGTGCATAGAAGACAGTGTCAAAAATTCATCTGTGTGCAGAACTTCTGTTTTGATATTATATAAATCAGTGCAGGTTCAATGACGTGATAATTACTACCTCTCCCACTTCTGCCTCTTTTACTTCTACAGACAGAGTCATACAAAAATTAAATAATTCTAACTTCCTAAAGAATCTTCAGCATTAATTTTATAATATAATATAATAATATATCAAAATATACTCTAGGTTTAATTTAATTTTATTTTTTCCCCATAATGCAAACCTTTGCACACTTTGGTAATCTCCCCCCACCATTTTCTCCTGTTGTATACATGATGGGCAATAAACAGATATTACACTGGACTGGATTCAATTCATGATTGAGCAGAGAGCATAAGAATGATCTTATAGCAGTGAACTCTAGTGAACTGAGTTAGGGACTAAAAAAGAGTGTGGCCTTAACAGACGTTTTGGCTTTCTCTTCTGTAAGCAATTTATCTGCTTCTTACAGGTTCTGGCAAGGTTAGAATTTACACAATATTTTGAGGATGGGCAAGTAATGTACAAGTGCTTCACATTAAATTAAGTTGTCCATAGTGGATGAGGAACAGTACTAGGTGAATAAAGGCTTCTCTATTTCTGTTGAAGCCATGTAAACCGATTTTCTTTTTCCATAGTTCTGACTTCACTGTAGGCAAACACATGCACATTACTAGCGAGCCAGCCATTTTAACAGAACATTTTGCTACTTGACAGTTCAGCTCCCTCATCAGTTACTGGTAATCCTGCTCCCACAGCCAGTTATGGCTGACTAACTGGTCTGTATTTATGTTGCTTGGCAAGACATAGCTTCCTTTGGAAAGAAAGGTCAAGCAATCCCTTTCCCACACATCTCTTCACCGTAGTCCCTCATCTACAGAGAATTGGCTGAGACTCCCTTTCATATCCAGTCAACATCATTCTTGATATTTTAAGGAATCTTAAAAGTGTATTAAAAACAGAAGACCAGGATAATATACATCTGATAGTAGCACCATGGGATACTGCTAGAAAAAGCTGAAGTCTACAGAGACAACATTATATATCTACCCACATCACCCAAGCGATCACTTGGCTGAGACTGGAAAATACTAGTATTATTTCAAGGATTAAAATACATCCAATGAATTAATCATGTCAGTCAGATGCATGTTGACCAAATAATCTGCTGCTGTGACTAAAGCAATTTTCTATAAAAATTGTGCTATCATTTAAGGTCAGAAAGTAGTGCTGTCTGGATTCAGGTAGTCTATCAGATAGCTCAAAGAGCTAGAAATTCCTTCTCTCCCTGAAGTGTAACCCAATGAAAAGAACTCAGACTATCAGATAAAGTGGCTAAATCTAGTTTTGACAGCGATTCTGTTTAAACCCACTGGGGAGAGCTTGAGGGTAGTAAGAGGTCAGGCTCTCTCTCTCTGCTCCAACTCTTTTGCTAACTGATAGAACAGGCCACAAAAATTATAAGACCACAACAGTTTCCAAGCAAAATACATGGACTGTTTCTTCCAGTAAATAACTTTAGAATGATAACAACATGCCTAATCAGAGAGCCAGAAAAATTAACAGACTTTCACAAGCAGACAAGGTTCTTTGGATAGATGTGATATCTTGTTTATTAGGCCAACTAAATTGTTGGAAAAATCGTTCTTTGCAAGCTTCCGGGCACAAACACTCTTCTTCAGTGTTTGTGCCCAGAAGCTTGCAAAGAACATTTTTTCCCAACAATTTAGTTGGCTTAATAAAAAAGATATCACATCTACCCAAAGAACCTTGTCTGCTTACGTCCGTAGACCAACATGGCTATACCCAACAGACTTTCACAAAGCAGTTTTACTATAGAAATTGAGCCTTTAAGCCACAAAGAGCAAGAATTAAACAGCATTTTCCTTCCTGAAGTCTGAGACATGGCAAAAAGGGAAACATTAATATACAGTTCTTCGAGGAAAAGGGAGGGCTGCATAAGATACGGGAATATACTGAAAATGGTCAATAGACAGTACTCTCACATATTTGTATCTGGAAAAGAGCTTAACATGCCACTGGCAAGTACATGCTCAAAAAAGTTAACCCCTTTGAATTATACCTCTTGCTAGCTAAACAAGAGAAAACAGGTCATTTGAATTCTGACCACATTGTCGTTAATCCAAAAGATGCCCTCCTCCTAATTACACAATTAGATCTTTCAAAGGGGAATTATTTTCTCCGCCACTAAGTTTTGGCCACGCAGTTTTACTAGTGGCTATTTGAAATTCCTTTCTTTAAGAGATACAATCTGGTTAGTTGCCTCAGCCAGGAAGTATTATTATCTGCAATAATTCTAAGGAGAACTTGAACACAGAAATCTTTCTGATCCATATGAACAATATGTGCTGCATCAATACACACAGGAATTATTTTTCACATCCAAAGCATATTTGCATGCCTCCTTTGGTTTTTGCAGGTACAGTCTGTTGATTCATCCTTTAAAAAAGGAAGAGCTATTTGATTACTGGAAGAAAATATGGTCAAGATGCAAGAGATGTGGTTAGTGCTCTGCAGAGACGTCAACAGTCACAGACAGAGCTGCCAGACCTTGTTTTAGGCACTTAGCTAGGGGTGTCTGGAAGACACATGAAGACAATGGGCAAAGTGTCCTGGATTCAATCACAGCTGTGCGGTTGGATATTAAACATCTGAAAACAGCTCAAGCAGACAGAAATTAACTACATTTAGTTAACTAAATTTAACTGCTCAGAAGCTGAGCAGCTGTATCTATTTTTCTTTAGGCAAGTCTCTCAACCAATTTTGTAATGCACTTATGTGGCTCTTGCAGTACACTGGAAACTGCAGACCTGTCTTTGGTCATTTCTGGAACCAATTCTACAACTGTGTCAAATATCCAAATCAGAATTATACTTCTTCAAAAATGGGGGCCCCCTGGATTTCAAAGATGTGATAGTTCTGTAACACACAGAAGATATAGTTGCACTCTCACTTGAAACCTGGCTACCTATAGCAATAGTGAAGCAGGAAGAAAGGAAAATTAAATGCATTATCAACTGTACTATCAGATGCAAAAGTCTGCCTGAGCCTAGCACTGGAAACAGTGAGGAATTAAATTAACAACTGGCAGGAACCGCTCTCCTTTCAATGGAAGTTCAACTTCTACCAAATAACCGGGGACTAAATATGTGCACATGAGACGGATAAATCTCTAGCATACCAAATGAGCCAAGAGATGTACTTTACATAACCTTGATCAACCACTAGTCAACTGATCTTTTAGTGACAGGAAGCAAATTAGCTAGAAGAAAAAAAAAAAACTTAAAGTATTTCACAAACTACAGATAAGTTGCAGTGATTTGCTATTAATTGAACCAAATTCAGAAAGGAAAATTATAAAGTTCTACAAGCCAAACAGAACAATCCCATGAACAAAGGCAGACTGGGAAATGATGGGCTAGGCTGCACTGCTGAATATGAGTCAACAATGTGCTCAGGCAAAATAAATATATAAGTAAAGCCAACAGCATTTTGGATTGTATTAACAGAACTGTCATTTGAAAGTCAAAGCAAGTGATTATTCTTCTATTCAGCATGGATGAGACCTTACCTAGAGCACTGTTTCCAGATTTGGGCACTGCACTTCAAGAAATATGCAAGCAAATTAGAAAGAAATCATCAGAAAGCCACAAAAATGATTAAAGATCTAGGAAATGTGACTTATGAGAAGATTAAAACATTGTTATTTAGAGGACAGTAGTAGACTATTCTCTATGGCTACAGGGGACAAGATAAGAAATAACGTTCTTGCAGCAGGAGATACTTAGGTTGGATATTAAGGACTTTCTAACACTGAGAGAGAGAAAGCATTGCAACAGGCTACCTAGAGAGGTTGTGAAATCTTCAGCAAAGGTGGGAGGTAGAAGGAAATGACTTCTTGGGGCCTTTCCAGCCCTACTTTTCAATTATGGGAAACTCTCATACCAAGAGGGCTTTATTTTTTTAAACTAAAAAGCCATTTAAAAAATGTGATGACCGTATATTTTTGCTAGTCCATTTTTAGAATCTGTAGATTTCTTGCAGAATTTGCCACTGTTTTGTTTTCCCCCTGCCTGTGTCAGGACAAGAAATACTTCCCAATGTGCAAGACAAGGTCCTTTTTTTTTTTTTTTTAAACAGCTATGCCTAAATTGTACTATGGGTGGGTCTGAAATTGCTTCTTTATACTCTTTTAGGCCAACATACAGGACTGATACACTCTCAAGATTTGTGCAGTGCAAGAAGTCAGACTACTTCATTACAATGGTCCTTTCTGACCTTAGAAGTCTGTATCTCTGGGGTGGGCAATTATTTGGGCCTGTGAACCACATCGGGAGTTTTGATGAGCTGTTGCAGGCTGGGTCGTCCCACAACACTCACCAAAAACCCTATGTGGGGTGGGGCTGCAGGCTGGTGGTGAGTGGGATGGATGGGTGAGGCCGGGATCATGGAGCAGGGTCACAGGGTGGTGATATCGCAGGGCCAGGGCCCACGGCAGAGCTGCAATCCACTGCCCGCACACCCCTGCGATGGGTACAGGTTGCACAGGCAGGGGTGGGCAGGGCGCAGATTGCGACTCTGCCCCGGGCTCCAGCCTTGTGCTGTCATTGTCCCAATATCCCGGCCCCAGATGCAGCTCCCCACCTGTCTAGCCCTGGGCCTTGATGGTGCAGCTCCCAGCCAGTCACCATGGAGACCTCAAATCAGGGGGCGGGGCCAGGGCCAAGGCAGGCCTGGGGCAGAGCTAGGGGGAGGAGGGAGGACTGTCAATGTGCTAGGTCTTGGGAGCAGGCCGTGGGTGCGGGCGGTGCATGCAGAAATTGCCCGGGTGGTGTGGCCTGCAGCTGCCCGTGCAGCGCTTTGCAAAGGGCAGAGCCCTGCCCATGCTGCCCTCCCATTGGCCCGGCCCTGGCCAGCATGCACAGCTTAATGGCAGGGCTGCTCCTGCTGCCCTGGTGCTGCTCATCTCCCTCACCTGCAGCAGCTCCTCCTCCTCCTGCTGCCCCACTCCAGGAAGGGAGGAAGCTACAGCCAGCCAGGCCGCTCCTGCCCCAGTGCATAAGGCTTCAGCTCCCAGCCACCTTCCATCCACTTGGCTGCCAGCAGCTGGTTGCTCATCAAGCCAGGCGGGCAGAGCGGGTAGAAGGCAGCCAGGAGCTGTAGCCAGAGCCCCATGCACTGGGGCAGGAGCTGCCTAGCTGCAGCTACCCCATCACCCAGAGCAGTCAGAGCAGGGGCAGGAGCAGGAAGAGGAGCCAATACTGGAGGCAAGGGGGGCTGAGGAGCACCAGGAGAAGCCCCCCCGCCCCGGGCACAGTGCTGGCTGCCTGGGGCTGGGTGGGGCTTGGCCCCGAGTGCAGCCATGGGACTCTGGTAAAGCATATGTTAGACCCTAGAGAGGATGCCCATTCATTTCTCACCTACATAGAAAGCAATGGGCTTTCTCATTAAAAACACCACACTGCAGAATACGGCACCAGTGAAAACAAGCCAAGTATAACACTTCCCACGACAAGCCTTAGAACAGAACAAGTCAACCTTTTTGGCGGCCACAAAACAGCTCCCTCACCTCCCTGGGATGCCACTTCTCTCCCCTTCCCTGCTGCTCCCGGCCCTTATCCCTGCCTGAACCGCAACCCGGCTTCTGCTCCCGCCCGACCTGCCGCTGCCTTGCCTGTCCCTCCCGGGGCCGCGTGCGAACAGGGGCGACGGTTACGGCCTGAGGACGAGCGAGGAGATGCCCCGGGGCCGGTGGCACAAGGCGAGCTCGGCGGGGCCGCCCCGGCCCGGGGGCCACGGAGAAGCGGGGAGGGCCGCAGGGTCACCGGAGGGAGGGCAGCAGCGCGGGTCGGGAAGGACGGGCCGGACGTCACTGCTGGGGCTGCGGCT